GTACAGCTGCTCCGCTTGGCCAAATTTTGGCGGGTGATGATTGTCGTTCGCCCGAAGGTATGGGAAAAACAACATGTGTGTGCCCACACAAATGGTGGTGTCGAAGGAATTCCTTTCGTGTGTGATTCAGGGCATGATCTGCATCTCGCTGCCCCCAAGCAAAATGACTGACAGGGTTGGGCGCCTAGGGGAAGAGAGAGAGAGAGAGAGAGAGAGAGAGAGAGAGAGAGAGAGAGAGAGAGAGAGAGAGAGAGAGAGAGAGGGGGGGCCCCCCACAGAGTGGAGGAAGAGAGGTAGATACACAAGACACAAACGCAGAGAGGCACACTGGACACACTTCCCGAAAGGAGCTCCACCTCCAGAAACGGTTCGAACCAGCCCACCGCCTCCCAACACACCAAAACCTCGGCAAGGTTATGGCTGGTGAACACGCTCACACGCAAAAACGGTTACAAAACCTATTGGCATCAGGCGCTAAGTAGGTTATCCCACCTGACTGCCGGAAACGCTGGACGTGGCCGAAGCCTCCCCACCTCCCTCCTGTCTCCGCCCAGCAAAGAACCCTCTCCACCCCCCGCTCGAAACCTCAAGCGCCGCCGGCACGGCCACCCGCGGCCGCGGTGCGTCGGCGCGCTGCCCGCTCTCTGCCACGGGCGTATCGAGCGTCACATTTCCCAGGTTGCTGCTGTTGTTCGGCTCGGGATCATCGCCACCGCCGCGGCCTCTCCGCGGTGCAACTGGGACCGGTTCCTCCGAAAAGCCGGCCGAAGAAGCCCCTGCCCCGCTCCCAGTGTCCGTCAAGTTCGCCCCGGTACCACCCCGCTCTGCTTGAGCGCTTGCCCTCAAAGCGGCATCGCGCATTGCCTGCGACCGGGCCTTCTGCTCCGCAAGCGTCCTGGCCGCGGCCCAAGCCTCTTCCCGAGCCCTGCTCTTGCTGGTGGTGGTGGTAGTCACAGCAGCGGGAACTACGGCAGCAGCCGCATCCTGCTGCATCGTAGGCGATGGCGCAGGTAGGCCCGCAGTATCTGCGTCTCTGAAAGGAGTCTCCGGTTCGGTAGCGAGTTGGACTTTCGCCGCTCCTGACGGTGACTCTCGCGAGGCAACGGAGCCGCCGCCGCGCCGCTCTCTTGCTATACCCTCCTCTTGGTTCCGCTCCTCCCTTGCCTTAGCATCAGCCACGTCCGGCAAGGGCCGCCTTCCTACCTCTTCTTCGCGCCGGGCGGCCAGGCGTCGCTTGTTGTCACGCGCCTCGGCTTCCTGTCGCGCACGCATCCAACGCCTGCTTTCTTCTTCTTCCTCCTTCTCCCTCGCAGTTCTCTCTTCCTCTGCCGCCGCCGCCGCCGCCGCCGCTTCAGCTGCGACACGTCGGTCTTCGTTCCTCTGGCGATCTCGGTCCAGATCGAGAGCGCGTTGGCGTTCTCGCTCTCGCTCTCGCTCCTCGTCTTCGAGCACGCGCATGCGTTCGCGTTCCCGTTCTTCTGCTTGCAACACGGCAGCCGCAGCCGCCGCGGCGGCTTCCTCCAACCTCTTCTCCTCCTCTTCTTGGAGCACCCGCTGCCGCCGCCGCTCGGCTTCGACAGCCTCGGCTTCCAGCCGAAGCGTTTCTTCTCGCCGCCGTCGCTCGTCTTCCCTCCCGCTCTCCTCCTCCTCCTCCTCCTCCTCCTCCTCTGCTGCGTGCAAGAGGTCCGCTTCTTCTTCTTCGCCTTTCCTCTGCCTTGTCGCTTCTGCGTCGCCCCCCGCCTTGTGCATCAACGACGTCTTGCTGCTAGGAACAGCGTCTGCGTCGTCCTGCTGCTGTGCGGGTGGCCTCTTCCCGCGGTGATGCTGATCTAGCGCTAAGGCTTCTCTCACCTTGCGTTCCATCAGCCCCTGACGGGCACTCAAGCTTGCCGGTCTCGCTGGCGCATGCGGAGGAACTGCTTCAGCAGGACCGCTGCTGCTGCCTTCAAGCGCGTTGATGTCAGTGCCTGCAGCGGCATATGCTGGTGTGGCCGACGAAGGAGCTTCATCGCGTACACCTGACAGGGAGGAACGAACGCACGGGACTGTCTGAACATTCATCTCAAGCACCTGTCGTTGTGGCATACGCGCGGTTGGTGTGCTGTGCACATGTAGTGCCACGTGCGGACCGTTTACAGCAGCAGCAGCAGCGATGGACGCGAACTAAATACGTACGGCATCGTACCTTTGTTGTTGTCTCCGTCCACGGCACCCACAGTCGAGCCCTCGTCGTTCGAAGTCTCGTCCCCTTCATCTCCGTCGTAGCGACCGGTGACGGTGTCGAGAGCACCGTCAAGATAGTTTAGCAGAAAGGACATGTCTACATCAGCTCTCGTCCGCCTGTAAACTCCGTTGTGGTTGTAGTTGTAGGGAGACGGAAAAAGTAGCCACAGGAGGAATTTCTGCGAGTAGTTGGACTGAAGAAAAAACACGACTCACACAACCACTCTGTTTTTGACAATCGAGTGCCTTGTCTTGCCCTCTAGCAGTGTGCTGCGCGGACTGAGAACAGTCAGCAGTCACCTGCTCCTGGCACGGTGCACTCCACTGTCCAGCGCCAGGCGAAGGGGCTCCGTGAAGAAGTTTTCGATTTTGCATACCCCCTAAGAGACACCTTAGAGCAGGGGAAGTGCAGCAACGAGCCAGCAAGTGGGTAGAGAACGAGAGGCAGAGAGAGAGAGAGAGAGAGAAAGAGCGACGGATAGAGGCTTGGACTCTGCTGCGGGAGAAAATGGCGGACGCTTCAGTGAACGCCTCGCGACCACTTGTCGACGTAAGTCTCGCTGAACTCTACTCTTGTTAATTCTCGGTGGGCATCAAAAAGTGCTTGTGTTGAGCGCAAGTGTTAAACTGCTTGTACGTGTGTTTTCTGGACTTGTTGGACGGATGATGTTCCACCTGCTTGTAGTATGCCTCGACCTCTCTCTCAGAGATGGGAACACAGCAAGCAAGTCACAGATTCATTAGCCATGCATGATTTTTTGACAAGAGCACGGCGGTTGCTGTGTTTGACGTGGATTGATGAGTGATGATTGCACACAGAAGCTTGTTCTGCGCGAAAGGACATGCGTGAAGTGAAGAACGCAGTAGTGCACCTGCGTGACAGGTTTCGGCAATCATCGGGCACGCTTGTTACAGCAGCAAACTCGCTCCCATAGCAGGCGGAACCTCAACTACTGCCACCACCCTAGACTCACGTGTGGACAAATCCTTGTTTTTAAGCTCCAACCGAGGACCATGGCGATGACCTTCCTCAACATTGAGTTTACATTTCGCGAACGATTGGCAGTTTGAAAGGCAGGCCTGTGTGTATGTATGCGCGGGAGAGAAATGTAGTAACTCTGGCATAACCCTTTTGAGTCTTCAGGCGTTCTGACTGATCATTGATTGATCATTTTGCAAATGCTGGTGTAGTGGCAAGTCGTGGAGTTGCCGCCCTCCAGCCCTTCGCGCCGTGTATTGGCAACCTGGTGTGTCTAGATGATTAGAACCCGCGCTAACCGGCTGACCAATGAAGAGGCGTCAGTGACAGAGGGTAACATCAAGGTCTCGGGAATGGGGCCAATCAATGCCAAATCATGAATCTCTCAACGTATGTACATGAACGTGTGTGTGCATACATACATACAACATACATACATACATACATACATACATACATACATACATACATACATATGTGTTCTTTGGCAGCCACACATACACTCGCCCGAACGTAGGAAGCCACTGCTGCAAAGAGCAGAGGGCAGCAAAAGGGAGGGGTATTGCAAGCCCTGCCGAAGCCCAGATACCGAGGATATCGTGGTATGCTGCATCTCCCAACAATTTGAAAATCGTTCCCAAGATCCAGCAGTCATTTTGTCAGCAGCTACAACGAACGCTAAACAACACCACTACTACTGCTGTAGACGAGTATCACATATCAGCAACACATCCACACTCGTAGCGCACACATACCCTCGCCCGAACCCAGGAAACCACGAGGTACAGGTGTGTGCTGGTGGATGTGCTTGTTGTTTGAAGAACAAGAAAAACAAAGGAGCTCTAGAGAGCTGGCAGGGCACAATTCGGGGGGAACAGAGAACAGAGAAGTACAGAAGTACAACTACCAGCTGTGGGTCTTCACTGATCATTTTCCCTCTTTGGACTGATCATTTCCACAACACCGAAAATAGACCAGTTGAGGCAGCTAACCTGCCCTACTGACCGCAGCGCGACCACCCATCAACCCTTTCTACGACACTGTCTGTGGCCACCACCCTGTCGCCGGCTTCCCTCATGGCCTACAGGTGGAGATAGCTGTTGCGTGTGCACAAGTACCCTGGTGTCTTTCTCTGCACTTCTCTCTCTCCCGCTCGCTCCATCTCTCGATTTTTTTTTGCGCAAAAAAAAGAATCTGACAGTCCAGCCTAGACCCAAAGGGGTTAATAGAGACAAGGCAGTCCCTCCCGGAGGCAATTTGCTTGGGTGCTGCTGGCTGTTGTGTACACGTAGAAATCGCTTTATTGCAGATGATGCCTGCTCATGGTGCAATAAGCTCAACAGAGGAGAACCCTGCTTGCCTTCAATACATGCAAATGCTGTCTGTACGTCCTTGCCGCTACAGCAGTAGTCCATCGCAAAACGATCAAGGAGTAGTGGAGGTTGACAGAGTAGTTACGCGTTGCGAAATGCCAACCTACCCACACCCTTTGTACGGCATGCCTGTACCCATGTTGAACCCCCTGCATTTTCTGCGAGCAGATATTGTGGAATGCACAGGATGGACGCCTTGCAGCTTCAAAAACCCATCCCTATTGTTTCACACGTTGGCACATCTAACATGACTGCTGTAGATACCAAGAGGTTCCCTCGTGTCGGAGACGCCTTGTCGGTATGTAGCTTTTCGTTTGGCGCTTCTCCAGGGCTTTAGAAGCACCTTTGATGCCGAGATATCGCCACTCAAACATCGGCCGGGCTAGGTATGTCATCCAATGCCACTTGTTAAGAAGTTAACCGACAGTGGTCCTTCCTTTTCGTCTCTGACCTAAATCCGAAGTAAATCTGATACCATGCACAGAATCAAGAGCATGTTCCGGAGAATGCTGTCGCACAGTCAACCCAACGCCAATTCGCGCGCGGTCAGTGGGCCTTCGCCTGCACACACGGGAGTTAGTTACCGCCCTCAACCATCCCCGTCTTTTCCGGAAATAATTGCAGCCCTTTTCCTACTGGAAACCCTTTCTGTTTGTCCTCTGCCCACATTTGCTTCGCCATAATTCCGGTCGTTGTTTTTTGTCCTCGCAGATCACGCCGGACACGCTGTCTTTCGAGCTCTTCCCCAACTCGCAGCCCGGCTGCGTGCTCTACGTCAGCAACGCCGCCGGGGTCACGGTGGCCTTCAAGGTAGCTACCATTCTACCCTCGTGGTCTTGTGTTGGAGTTGGCGGCCGGCCGGTATGGGCTTCACAGCCGCCGGCTCGTTGCAGTTGAACGCGCCACCGCGTAAGAAATTGGGACTTGGGTCTTCGATTTTCATGGGATGCACGTGAAAAACTTGAACCCTACACACACTTTAGGCTATGCTTGGTTTCCCGACCAATCAAACACGGAGCGACGGTTGCGGCGCAAAATATTTTTGCTCGTAGGTCGTGGCGTGTCCTGTTTCGAGTTAGTGCGACTGGGGTAGCACCTACCATGGAGTATGTAGACGCGACATGTTTTTCTTATTTGTGCCCGTGTAGTCCAGTCCATGTTCACGATGCACGAAGAAAAAACGTCTTGAATAGGAATCCGAGAACAGTTTAACGCGGACCATCATGTGGTGTGCGGCTCAAATTTGGTTGGGTGCATCGCTGCTACAACTGTCGGGATACCTGTTGATCTACTGCAAGAAGTCGGCAAGACTTTTGGTCGAACGTAGAGTGGTACAAGATACCAAGAAGACGTTGGCGCTACTTCTAGGTTGCGCATTTAGTAAAAGGATAACACTTCGTAGCGACGACTACGAAGTACGACACAAGATAACACACCGACTGGACCGATTCTCGATGCTCGATTTATCAACAGTTGAAACGTCGCAGCGCCGAAAATGGCGGCGTTGAAGCCGTCTGGTCGAGAGCTCTGCGAAAAAGTATCGTTTCGTCCATGCATCATCTTCGTCGTGGAGTAATCGAGCTTTGAAAATCGGTCCAGGGGGTGGTGTTATCTTGTGTCGTATAGGGTAGTGTACTGCTGTGGTTTTTGTTACGGTCGTCGTCGTTCGTTGCCAGCGCCACAGACGTGTCCGCGTAGTGCTCGGTAGCTGTTAGCCCGCCAACCCGGTTCCTATTCACTTACACGAAGGACACCCGTACAGCACGCCTTCTCGCTGCCGTTTTCCCTCGCTGAAATCCGAGACCCTGCAGAAAGGGCGGCTATGCCGACGTGGGTGCCCCCCCGCGTCTCCCTGACGCTACGGTGCGTTCTGACCACGTACCTCTCACATTGCCCACGCTTGATTGTTCGGCGTCGGCGCTATCTGCCTGCCTGCAGGTGAAGACAACGGAGCCGAGGCGTTACCTTGTTCGACCAAACCAGGGGATGATCGGGCCGGGAGAGAGGGAGGCGGTGAACGTCTACCTCATTGAGAAGGAGTGCAAGTGCGTCAGTCAGTCAGTCAGTCAATCAATCTCGTCGATGACACCCGTTTCCCACACCTCCCGCTTTTTCTCGCTCTCCCTTTTGTGTTAGGGTGCCTCCTGCGGGTGCTATGCTATATTTCGCATGTTTGTTGTCGTTTTTTAAGTTTTCGCCCAACGTCGTCTTCACGCTTACGACACCTGAGGCAGTTAGTCAAAACAGGTGACTGTTTTTGATCTCCCAGACGCATGCAATTCTTCCCGCCAGCCCTCACCTTTACAGTTTCTGGCGAATGCATCTTCGAGGGGCACTTCATCCCTGCACTGGATCTGACACCCTTACCCTATTGTGCGGAGATCCGCTGCTATGTTTCGGTCTGTGTTTGTACGTGCGATCTCGCCATTTCCATTTTCGTCGTGTTTCCGTCGTTGGCATCAATCCCGCCATTCCGTGCCAGTTTCACCACGTTCCATCCTGTATTACCGCTTGTTTGTCTTGGCCGGGGCCGAACAGCCTACTCATCCATGAGGGTGTCCAGACGCCTTCTTCCCTGGGAAAGGTCAGCGACAAGTTTTTGGTTCAGACGGTGGGCCTTGGGGAAGGGGAGGCGGCGCTACTCACGTCCGTCGCCGCTGCCAAGCAGACCGAGGCGGTGAGTCATGACGCACAAGGTCGCGAGACATTTTGGGCTTTAGGGTTACGGTAGTGATGTTGCTGTTGATGGTGGTAAGTGGCGGTGTTGCTACTGCTGTTGTGGTGCTGCCGCTATTCCTGTCGTCGATGTTGTCGTTGTCGTCTGGTGTGTTGATGTCGCTTCCCGAGTGTGCTCGAGACAAGTCTTGCGGCCCTGGAGGATTGGGAGGCTCTCGAACGAGAGGCCGAGGCACACGCTTGGAACCTCGAGATTGACCCGCTTTTGCTGCATTCTCCTGACCCACGACCACCAAACACCGACGACCCCCAGGTCAATACTCCCCTCGTCATGCCTGAGTAACCCTCGCCGCCATCCCCCCCCCCCCGGTGCTTTCCAGCTGACGAAGATTTGGGCGACCTTCAACAAGACTGCCATCCGCAACAAGAAGCTCAACGTCAGAATCTCCCTCGCAAGCGGTGCGGCGAAATCACTGTCCGCCGCCAACAGCACGGCGGCGGCTAGTGTGGCGCAATCGCCGGCACGGACGGTGGGCAGCGACAGCGGCGGGGCTGTTTTCGCTTCCCCCGGCAGCCAAACTTCCCCCTCGGGCGTCGCGGCGAGGGGGGCCTACGGAGCGAGGAACGGGGGGGGGGGGTCTCGAGGGCAGCGTTTCGAGGGCAGGGGGGGTAGGGGGCGCGGGGCTGGACGAGAACTCTAGAGTACTAGCGAACAAATACGACGATGTGAGTGTGTCTTGTTTGTATTGATGCGGCAGCCGCTGGATACACCTTGGACACTTTGGTTGGCCTGTGGTTTGCTGTAGTTATCCCCGTTTTGTTCGGTCGGTTCCAATTTTTACCTCCACCATGGTAGTTCCCCAAACGCGTCTACTTTTTGAGTACCACCCGTTTCTCACCCATTGTGAATACATCAGCAGCATTTGTGTGCACACTTAGCCGAAGTCGGCATGGTCGTGTTGACCCTTTGTACCCCATCGTGTTGTTGACAGCTTCGTCTAGTGTCCCGGTCGTCTTTTTTTTTTCGTTTCGAATTCATGTTGTTGGCACGCTGTTGGTTCCGATGTAGTTTCACGTGATAAAAAAGTGACATCCGTTGCGTTTCTACAGAGCTGGTTTGGCAGATGGGGGCATATCTGCCGGTCGTAGCAGAAATATAGTATCAGCGCAGCCCTTTCGTCGTTGATCGTCCGTGCGGTTGAGAGAGGGAAGTGACGCCGGTGATAGATGCGTTCCCAGCATGAACAACCCGTACATCTACCGCAAGCCTACGCATCGTAGGCAGCTGGAGGAGACCATCGTCATTTGCTGGCATCCAGTGTGTTCCATAAGTTGTTCTGTCCAGCTCACATAGATTTCAATGGTTGGCCGCTGCATGTGCTTCTGGTGTATCACGCTGCTTCTCTGTTTCCGCTGTATGAGCTGGAGATGTATAGGCGGAAAAGCAGCTAGTTTGCACAGGGCACCCATGCATGCGAAGTTTATTCGACGTACACATTTTTTTGCGGACGTCGCACATACCTGGTGTTTTTTTTTTGTCGATGCCAATGTTGTGTCCGCCCTGCATGTACGCAGATTCATGAGTTTCCTCTATTTTTTTCGCGTCTTATTCTTGCATCCGCCTCCGAACATAGCGTGACAATGAATCATTAGTTTTTCACGAACCGCCTCTCGTTGTCTGTCTGGTCCTGCCCATCTGTCTCCCTCTCTCTCTCTCTCTGCCGGCTGTCCTCTCTGCTTGTCGTGTCTGCCCTACATGGTTTCTCACAGCTTGTGAACTACACGGCAAACTTGACAGAGGAGCGCGATGAGCTGAACGCTAGTTTAGAGGAGGCCAAGAAGGCGCTGCAGCGGGAGATGGCCACCCGGATCGCACTAGAAAGCAAGGGCCAGATGCAGCAGGGCAGAAAGGTGCGCCTGTCATTAACAACCCGCGTTTTCCCTGTCAGGAGCTAGCCTGTGTACGCGCAGACAAATGGTATATCTTTGGGGTCAGGACGGATTATGTACAGAGACTGGCAGCCGTCAGGATGGTGAAAAACGTGGGGAGAACGTGTTGAACAGGTTATCGGGGGAGGTGGGATCGGAGCGGAAGCTTTCTAGTGCGAAGGAGTAAAATGTGGTACACGCGTGGTTAGTCGTGAGCGGTGCAGTTGTGATTGAACAGGCGGTGGGCCTGCGCATTCTACGATACTCGCCATCTACGAGAAACACACATTTACATTGTCGATAGTTGTACGAGAAGTACTTTGGGACTGCTGTGTCGTCGCGTCGGCGGCGGGCTCCGCTCTTCCTTTTCCTTCATACACGTGCAGCACGTTTGGTGTTTTTTTTTTAAATGCAAAGAACTGCTTCATCTGTAAGGCACCGTATGCACACGACTTCGTCCGTCCTTCTTATTTCTGTGGGACTCCTCGTTTGCATCGCAACAGCAGCAAACAGTTTCACCACGTCACGACATGATACAATCGCCACGCCCCCGAACCCCTCACGCCGTTTCGCATGAAGGAACTAATCTGACCCGCGTCCCGCTGCGTTGCCCTCTGGGTCGTTTCTGGCCCTCTGTCTTGCGCGTACATGGCACGGCGCCAATCACCATCATAATCAACAACACAACAAATCGCTTGTTGTCGTCATCATCGGCAATACCGCCGACAACCCCGCCACCACCAACATCATCACAACCAACACCAACAACCACGCATCGTCGGCATCATCTTCGTCATCGTCAACAACACCAACATCATGATCAAACATCATCATTAACATGGCTCTCATCCAATACCACCACCGTGATCATCATCGCCAACAACATAACAACGTCGTCATTGTCAACATCACGGACATCAACATCGACAACGACAGGGATCCACAAGGGGGGGCGTTCGTCCCCCGGTTAACCATCAGCGCGATGGCGGCGGCGGCTTCGGGCTGGTCACCCTGTCAATCGTAGCTTCTATTTTTTTCTTCCTAGGCCACTGGCTTGACCTGGCTAGTGCCGGCGACGCCGTCACCGCTCGCCCATCGGTGATCCAGCAGTACGCGGCGTCACCCCAGCCATTCACCAGCAGTGGGAGCAGCCGGGAGGGCGGGGAGGGGTCGTCGGAGTTGTGACACTGCTGTTTCGTCCCTGATGGTTTGTTCATCCCGCTAGATCGCGCACCCTGCAAGGCTACAGGCTCTTGGTTGGGACTTCCATGCTGTACAGCTACGGCTGGACTACTCGCTGTCATCATGACGGCAGGATCGGCGGCGCGTGAGGAGGAGACCTTGTTTTGTAGCCTTCAGCAGGAAAATATCAGGCAGGGATGGTATGTAGGGAGACACGTGACGAGAAGGAGAGCATTTGCGCATTTGATGCTAGCGATCACGGGTCCTTGGTGGGTGTATGTAGCGGACGACCCGTGGTTTTGGTGGGGACGCAAATGCGTCCTATTTTAGCATGCACAGCGCCCTGTTAATCACGGTTGGTTGCTGCATAAACCATCTTGACTACATCCAGACATCCAGACATCCAGACATCCAGACATCCAGCGGCATCCGCGACGTTCCCCTTGCATCGGTTCCATCGAACGGGAAGATATGTGTGTGCTCGCCCGGGGTAAACAGGAGTGGCACCTTTCCTTGCGTTCCGCGCGTGCGTTGATTCGTGTGTTTGTCGTGTGTGGAGATCGGGATGTTTCGGAGGCACGAGGCCTTGGGACGGTCGTGGTTTGGGCTTTGTTGCTGCCAAGTGGCATGCACGACGAACGCGGTGGCTCGACGTAGAGTGAGATGGTGGTTGCCCTCAGTGAAAGCGTTATTGAACGTGATGTTGGGAGTGCACAGAAATTCGAGAGGAGGGTACATTGGAGGAAGAAAGGGGTAGGGTTGTCTCTTACGTGTACAGGCGGATGTAGAAATGATTCCCCAGTGTATCATGGCAATAGCAACGAAGTATCCTGCGAGAAAACTGGAAGGACACTGACTTGCTGCTGATGTTCGTAAACCTCGGCGTCTGTTTGTGCATGTGCAAAGTTAGCAGTGAAGCGGTTAAACGCCCAACCGGGAAGAGGGTGACTGTTGACAGACGCCACGTCGGTGAGAACATCTTGCTACAAGGCGATGTTCTTTTCTCAGTCGATAGGCTTGTCTCTTGAAGCCTGCCAAAGAAGGACTGCTCACAGTAGTGAGTGGGCATGGACGGGCCGCGTGGTCCATACTGTTCCTTGTTGCTCTTTCTGTGTGTTATTTAAGAGGATGGGCCTGTCCTTTACGGGGACATGATATCCAATATACTGTTTTAAGTGTGAGGATAGTGCTGTTCTCCATGAATGGGGACTGCGCGGACGGTAGACTGGTTCAGTCGTTCGTTTTCTTAATACGATACAGCAAGTTTGAAGTAGGATGGGAGGGATAGAAGAGGAGCGTTGAACGAAGATCTTTGTTTGTAAACGGCATGGCGGCTTCATTCTCATCTCGCTTTGTAGGCATTTGCAGGTTGATGGCAAAGCCGACGTGGCACTCCAGCTGCGCAATTTCATCCGGGGGTGATTATTCCCATCTACTTGAAAGATCTCGTTCATGTGAAGACGAAAGTTGTCGGGGGTCGGCTCCTGCCGTTGCACCGACGAGGTTACACTATGCATACAACCAAATTCCTGTCGAACGATCTCTTTCGGCTCGTCAACAAGCCTGACGGAAGTGGTCTCCGCGGAACCCAGATGGTGTTTCCTTGCAGCTGGGATGTTGCCCTCACTGTTCTGGAAGCTCTCGAGCATGGACGGTGCCCTCTGCGATACTGAACAAGTCACACAGAACGAACCGTAAATACTTAAATAATACCTGTGTGCTACGGCAACGGACGTGCGAGCGTTCCCATATCGCAGTCGAGCACATGAAATGCACGAAACACGCTCGCACAAAACCCGTATTGCTCGGAAGAGTCGTTCTACTATCGTCGACTTCCATGATAGCCTGAGATTTTACTTGTGGCGGTGTGCGAAGAACGAAGAACGACCGCCTATGTGATGAAAATGACCAATTTTCCTTCCAGCTTTGATCGTTGCTGTGAACGGCTCTAGATGCCGGAACATTTAGTGGATCACGGAATATTTTCGGTTTCATGTGTATTGGTGAGTTCCCACCATTCTCTCACTTAGTGTCCGGGTGAGGTAAAAGTACGTGCTTGACGTTCTACGTGCGCGCCGCCACGCTGCAACGCATTCAGCAGAGCGGCCCAACAGCGAATTGTGAGAGCAATACATGACAACTGGTTGCAGCCCACGGGACCCACTCGCGATGTCACGAACCTCACTGCCGATAGGCTACTGGTGGTGCTTTGTTGAAGTCTCGCAATCTTGTGCGTCAACTCCGACCTTCACGAATACAACACGCAACTCATTTTCTCACCCTCGTTTTTCCTAATCGCATCCACCTGTCCATAGATTCCTGTATTTTTGGCAACGGTTGGCTGCATGTAGCTTTTGCCGAATTCAGCGTCGCCTTGTTCTCGTCGTTGACCCGTGAGTCCAGCCGTAGGTCTATTGATAGATTGCAAAGAGCGTTGGAAGTGGCACGGGATTTAGTTCTCTTGCAATGTCCGCGCCCTGACGGGGTCGTAATCGAGGCGGCCTTCCGTCCTTACAATATTGTTGTACGTACTGCAATGCAGCCAACACAGAAGAGTGAACTCGATTGCTCCGACCCGGTCACGTTTCGACCGTTGTCGTCACCCTCTCGCGGGCCACCATAGCGGCATCTGCATTGTGAGCATCTCGTCGTGAGCAAGAGAAGAACTGGTAAGGCTTGTATTGATCTTCTTGTTCCGCTCATTTTCGCATGACAGACGTGATTTTCAACAGGGTGAGGGCGAGGTTCGACGACCTGGAGAGTCAGTACTCCTTCAGTCGCCCGACGGTGAGAACAGATTATTCCACGTCTTCGGTTGTCAAGAATTGCACAACCCAAGTAGTCGTAGAGATTTCGCCGCATGAAAGTGTGTTCCAGTATGATTCGGGGCATCAGTTTTTGAGCTCTCCCATGGACAAACTGTGCTCATCGTGGACCAAAGCGGATGAACCCGCTACAGCATCGAGCTCTGGCCTGTTTCCGGTGGCCTTTCGGCGATTCGGTTTGTCGTCAGGAATTGGCGTGGTTTTACGCCGCTGCTCGTAGCGTGCGGCGATCGATTTCGTAGATCTTGTGGAGTATCGAGCGACTAAATTGCGCTCAGAATAAATGATCTCCTTTGAATGTTCTACAGTGTTGATCCTCCCAAAGTCCACCCACCTGTGACCTTCCTCGGGCATTGTCCGCTTATGACAGGTGCCGCAATCTGGCTCGTTCTGCGGCTTGTATCTTCAGTAGCTTGGTCTTGTATGAGGTAAATTAAAGAGAAAAATCGAAAGCACAATCTTGATATTGCCGTGTTCCTTCGCACCGCGCTCACCGCCTCACTCTACGCAACGCCCCACTTACAACTCTCGAAAAACGGCCCTGCAGCCGTACCGTCTACACAAAGCCAACGCCACGTCGTCGAGTGATCAAAATCTGGATTGATACCATGACCACAAATAGACTACAACCCAACTCTTTCGCATCTCCCCGCACGACTCAATGAGCAACTCAGGTACATGTGCGTGCGCGCGAATGGTATTAGCCTACCCTTCGGTACGACCGTTGCCTCCTAATCAACGACAGCACTTTTGCCCTGCGGAAAAAAGGCAGCCAGAGAAACAAGGAAATCACCATCGTACTGCTGTACATGTATGTGTGTACATATATGTAGTCCTCGCCCATCCGTCGACTTAACGGCGTTCTAGGATAGTTGAAGCCCGTTTCCACTGCCTTATTCGCCTTCGACCTTCGAAACCACGACCTCTGCAACTGGGTTCTTCCAGTCGTAGTCTGCTTGCGAAAGGTCTCCCACGCCATTAATGCCTCGGTGCACGTGGATAAAGCCCTCTGAACCACGGCCGCCAAGATTTTCCCTTGGCTTGGGGCTTGCGGGACACGCCCGGCCCCGAATGCAGGTACACTTCTCGTTGTTTTTCTCGGTACCTTTGGGAAAAAAAGGGAAGAACGCAGGGCCCGTGAATTGATTCTCCGGTATTTTGTTTCATTTCCCTCGTGTGCGCGGTTGTCCGTCGTGCGGTCATTTCGTCCATATCGCGAATACCATTGTTGGTGGGAATCGTTGCCACCAAGAATCGTTGGTAGGAATCATTGCCACCAAGAATCGTTGCAAGCCACACAAAGAATAGTTCTCGTTCTCCGATCCAGATCGGGGTATGTCGTAAAGCAGGTCACGACAGGGGGGTTCAGGTAGAATACGCAAGTGAAAGGTATTCTTGTAGGCAATCGTGATGTGAATACCGAACATGATTTTCGATTATTCGGACGTCTAACTGGGGGAACACATGGGTAGGTGTCGACTATGGAGTATGGTCCTTGTGAAGAGCGACAGCTTCATGGCGATGAGATACGCGTTAGAAAAGTAGTCCTCATATTTCGGAATGGCGTGCGCGCGAAGTTCGTGTCAGCTGTGTGAAATTCCCTTGTCCCTTACCGGCATCAAAGGCGGGGGGAAAGAGCTTGGACGGGCGCTTGTCGAGGAATTTGGATCCATCGATTCCCATGAAGGCGTCGTTGGTGTTGGCTGCGTCAACATAGTATAGGCAGTTTAATCGATTGATTAGAACTTCGGGTCGTGAGCAGCTTCATTCGACACAGGAGTACACCCATCTCGTAGGAGAAGGCCTGGGGGGTTTACATGAAACGATGTCGAATCAGTGAGTGCAGCGACATCGCTGAAAGCGATTGAGCGCGTGCGAGCAGATGTAGCAGACGGGACGCATGAGGCGGGATGAGGCGGTGTTCGGCGATATTTGACGCCGATTGTAATGGTGGGATCACAGGAAAATTGCCGTAGTCTGAAGCGGCGCCGCGCCACTGAGTTTCGCACGTCCTGTACAAAAATAAGGCCATGTGCCACCGTACTGTCTCTCTTCAGATCACCATCAGCAATTTGCCTGGACATCAACATTCACACGCCCACAGGTTGTCCACACGGATTCAAGTTCAAATTTGCGACTTGGGGATAACGATGGGTATATGCATCGTCTTGTGTTTCGGAAACTCACTGAGCTTGGCCACCACCGAGTAGACAGGTCGCTTGCATTTGTTCGCGTCAAACGTGATTTCGCCATTCCATGTCTTCCCGGGCAAAAGGGGGCCCTCGGCCGCGGCAAAGCCACAGAAGCCGTCCTCGCGTGTTGCGATTATCTGTGCGTGCATCGCCCGCCGTTTTGAGAGGCGCGTAGAAACGGTGGAGCGTGTGTGGGTTCCGCGTTTCGTAGAGGGAACAGCGGTATTGAAGTGTTCGGGTAGCTCCGGTGACAACACCATGCCACGCTCCGTATTGAGTCCCCCGTCCGAGCAAGAACACGGGGACAAATAATCTCGATGGACTGGACGTTGAAAGTTCGACAGAATGAGAGGTGGGTACACATGTGAGAGCGAAGACTCCTACTTATCTAGACTGCCACGGCAATTGGCTGTTAGCGTGACGCGATGAATCCCTTGTGAAACCAACCAGCGACATACCTCTATAAACCGGTTGACGCCCTCTTCTGCCATCCGCTTGATTGCGCCTCTCGCCTTCCTGCCCTTAGAGAATAGGGGACTACCCTGGTGAGCAAGAGGGAGAACGGGTGCGACAGATGAAAAGTGTCACGCCGTTGCGGGGGCTGCCGCTCGAAGCATTCATGGTTCGTTGGCAGGAGGTAAGGGCACAACATTCCAAGGCAGCCCGTATATTCTCTCCACACAATCACTGGGCTGGTCGGGGAGCAACACGAAGGACAGGTACATGGTGTTCAGGACCTGGGCACCTACCTTTTCATGCGCCACGATGATGGGGGGCGAGAAGTCCTGCTTGAAAGTCAAGTTCGTCACGCGGACCTGTACGACGTTCGTTCATTGATTGTGTTTGGAGAGGGCGCGGCAGATAAGAACGTTGGCTGGGTACAGACATGAGAGGGAGGCGCTATCGTGACCAAGCTCCGGGTCGAGGGGACAGCTACCGGCACCGCCATCGACAGTGTTTGTTCAAGGCACTAAGTAGTTGTTGCTTCTAGCTTCAACAACGTGTGGACTGGGAGAACTGCTGTACATTCTATGTCTCGACCCTCTGAGTAGCTCGACGTACACTGATCGGCCTCCGCTATCTTCCTCACACACAACACGACCATGGCA